GGTGCTTGAGACGAGCGGCATTGGCCGCATATGCTCGTGCTTCGGTGAAGCTGTTGACGTCAACTTCGGCATTGTAGTAGTAGGCTAGATAGGACCTGCCATCTTGTGGTCTGGGCGCCGAGCGCCAGTAGGATATCAACTCTTGTTCTTTGTTGATGATGATGGGAGACAACTTCAGCATTGTCAATCACGAACTATTGCTGTGTTCTTATTGGGTGAAACTCGTGATGCCATTCTGCTTATGGTTCGAGGTCATGGCTATCTGGTAACTTATGTATGATGCTGTTTGCGTTCTGGAGTTCGCTATTGCTCATCTTCCTTGCATTTCCAAGTCTCACGGATATTCCGAAGGACTCGAGTTTTAAACTCCTATGGTGCTATAGGCTGCGGGCCCCTTTCGGAGGCCGCCCACCACCAATTTTCACGGAACATCCGTGTCGGAGTGTGGCTCAGTCTTTAGGAACAGTGGCCCTCGCCGTACCACTCGCCAAAAAATGTTCAAACCGAGAATACAGACCTGGATTGTCATGACCTGAAATGGGCCCAGATTATGAAAGGAAAAAAAAAAAAAAAAAAGGGAAGGGCCCAGATTGAATAGTTGGAAAAGTCTTACCATCGTCTTCGCCAGAATAGAACGTATGCGTCGTATGGTCATTATTGCTGCATCTAGTCTGAAAGTTACCACAGATACGTTCAGCCAGCTATACTGATTGCTATGATGACGAAGTGTTCTATTCGTGTGAAGACGGTAGTGCGAGTGTGTCCCAAAACAGACTGAGTTGAACCGCCGGTACACGGCCCAGCCAGCTATTTTGTTCCGACACAGCCGTATGCACGCTGCGACTTTGGGGCTCGGCGTAGCGCGCCAGCCAAAGCGAAAAAGAATTTGCAACGCGCCAGTTTGTTTTTTCAACTGTTTTTGTTCGGCCCGCAGCACAAATCCGCCTCGGGAAAAGAGGCTCTCAGATACACTGGTGGTTTAAGCAGATGATGCCTACCCCTCTTGTTCTCCCCTCCTATACCCCATACCCCCCCCCCCCCCCCCTTTTGCTCCCTCCGAAAAGAAAAGGATGTCACAAATATTATTGAAGCATGATTCAAATTTCATGGTCAGGGCATCGGTCACAGAGAAGTTGGCTTTTTTTCCTTTTTTTTTGGGTTGGGGGGTTGGGCGCAGCGGGCAGGGTGGATTTGGCTTTTGAGTCTTGTGATGTTTAAGGATGCAAAAATTGTGGAAAACAAAAGAAGGGATGAGACAAAGGATGCAAATTTAATTTGCACATTCGATGTCGGAACTGAGAAGCACTCAGGAGTCAGAACTAATTGTCTGATCTATTAAAAATAATAAAAATTATTGAAAATGAAAAATAAAAAAACTTCAAAAAAGTGAAAAATGTTCAACGGACTTCAATGAAAAAGGTCATTGCTTTAGAGAACAACTTTTTCAAGTTTAGTGACCCTCCCAGCAAAGCCGCGAGCGGAGACCGGCCTGGTCTATTCAGGCTGGAAATGAACCCCCCCTGGTACAGGCCGACAGCCTCGTAACTTCTCGCAAGTATAAACTACCAAACTTGTGTCCTTCGGGGCATCGGTTAAAATTGGAACAACGTAAAAAGAAAAATAATAATAATAAAAAAAAAAAAAAAAAAAGAGGAACGACGCTGGAATGAAGATGATATGATATCACTCTTTTTGTACCTTTTACGCAATGTTTGCGAGTATAAATACGTGTGTGATGGAGCGTGCTTTTCTGTGCGAATCTTTGCTCTCTGTCCTCATGTGTCCGCTGTCTGTGCCGGGCAGCTTCTTATCTTTCTCTCATGGCCCCTGCATTAAAAAAAAAAAAAAAAAAAAAACACCTACCAAACTTGTGTCTGGACCAGCATGACATGAGGGGGGGCAACATACAAATAACATGAGGGTAAGAAGAGGGGGTGAAGACCCAAAATCGCAAACTTTGCATGGAGGATGAACATAACCGAAATTGTGTAGACCGTCAGGTGTCGATATCTTTCGGTGGAGAGGATGAACGGAACCAGAGTGGCGTACAAAGTCCGAAGTCAGGTGTCGATAACTTTGGGTGGAGAGGATGAACATAACCGGAATTGCGTACGTGCTACACAGTCGGCCTGAGACAGGTGTCGATAACGTTGTGTTGAGGAATGAAGTTCAATGAACATAACCAGAATTGCGTACACACAGTGAGGTTTTTGTGCTTCGTTAATTCAGCTAAGGATCTTTAATCGACTTTGCTGCCGTCATGTGACAGATACTGGGAGAACTGTCCGGTAAAGTGTTGCTGGAGCGTGCACGATACGAGGTTGCCAAGGGTATGGTGAAGACGGTGAGGAGTTGCTTGCTTGCCGACGGACAGTAGGGATATCCATAATCCGTCCACTTTGTGCACTAGATAGAAAGGGGAATAAAAAAAAAAAAAAAAGGTGGTGGTGATAAGCAACCGGACTGATGGCCCCCAGAATAGAAGGGGAGTGAAGGTTTTTTTTGTTGGGAAAAAAAAAAAAAAAACAAGAAACTGGAACCAAGGGTATGGTGAAGAGGGTGAGGAGTTACTTGCTTGCCGACGGACAGTAGGGATATCCATAATCCATCCACTTTGTGCAGTAGATAGACGTGACTTCTGTTTTTGTTGTTTTCATTCTTCTTTCTTTTTTTTTTCCCTTTCAAAGAGTACTTGTTTTGTTAAACCACCACTACCTCTTTTCCATGTGGGCCCACTGTCGGCGCCCGAGTCTTTAGGAGTGTGAAACGAAACGATGGCCGCTGATGAGATTATTAATCAACAGTGGCCATCGGCAGGCCCGGCCTCCGATTTCTAGGAGGATAATTTTTATTATTTTGTTGTTTTCCCATTTTCCCAACAGTGGGAAAGGTAGTTTTTTTTGTTGTTGTTTTTGAGCAACAAAATGTTTGACATATTCCCAAAAATTATAAAATATCACCCACCCCCATGAATTTTCAATCCCTCCCACAGCGACAGAAAGGACCATCATGCTGGCCATGTGCTCGGACGTGGAGCACCGTGGACACAAGCGTTTTGTGACTTTTGTCCCACATGCGCGATCAGGCTCTCCCGCAGCTCCTTCCCCATTTCAAGAGTGAATGCTGCGTCCCCCTCCGGCGGAGGTGCGCAAGGACCAGGCTGCCCGTCTCACACACAATCCCTACGGCAAGACCTGCTCTCTTCCTATCCACTGTCATCGTGATTACCATCTGACAAATCGTCAGGATTGACCTCTACGTTTGCGTCGACCATTCTACCAACAGTGGGAAAGGTAGTGGTGTTTCAAGAGCTGGAAAGCTGCTCCAGCATCCCGCACTTGTAATGACACACTCCACAATTCTCTCGGTTATGTATGGCATGGTCGAGAGAACCTGAGACGGGCATTGATGGCTTCCATTTAAGGAAAAATGATTAACCCCTGCTCAACCCCTGTGTTAAGCTCCCCCCCTTGTGTAGTAGATAGCTGGTGAAAGAAATTCCAGAGAGTATATAATCCGAGAATCCAAAGCGCGATGGTCTGATGAACGTGCTTCCTTCCCCCCCTCAAAAAAATTCCCTTGTGGAATATAGATAGGTGGTCAGTACGGTGATAGAAATCCTTTCAGAACTCTTTCCACTCCCCTCTCCCCCCCCYCCCCCCMCCCCCCCCCGYGCGGTGAGATTTTCCCCATGTGAAAACGAAACTTACAAAGTGGAAACGAAGAGAGCAACAGAAGGAAACGAAAAAGAACATCGAGCATTCGACTTTGACAAGAAGGAAAGGGGAGAATCTGAGAAACACACACACACACACACACACACACACACACACACACACACACACACACACACACACACACACACACACACACACACACAAAATTTGAAAACAAACGAAAAAACACACACAAAAAAAAAGGGGGACCATCTGACTTACAGCCTCACTCCACCGTGCTCTCGATTTTGCCAAAATGAGAGTTTTGGCCTCGCTGCATTGGCACAGCACTCTCAATTTGGCCGGAGTTTTGCAAAAAAATCAAGGGTCGGGTGAAAGGTTGGTCGAGAGCGGTGTTGAAAAATCGAGAGTCGCCAGACTGCAAAGCTGACGAGAACTGGAGGGGAGGCCACAGCCACTCCTGATTTCGCCGGGAGAATTGCGACAGGGGCTCAAGTCGCGACTGGCAGGCGGCATCCGCGAATTGTAGCATTGCAGTTTATTTAGAAGCTATAGATGGGTCAAGAGGAGGAAGGTCGAGCGTAGTGGAGCAAGGATGCCTTGCGTGTATGACTGACTACTCTCGACCTCCTCTCTTGAATTTTCGGTGGAATCGTAAGTAGCGAAGCACGGCCCTCAGACCGAGGAAGAAGCGGTCCGTAGACAGAGAAAAAACGTTGAGCATTTTCGTAGCCAGGTAAGGCCGCATGGTTGTGATTGGATGTGTGTGTGGTAATCCAGTATCTTGAACTATCTTCGGCTTTTGTGTGTGCAACGCAGTGTTTGCATTGGTGTATCTTCCTCTCCGTCCTCGTGCTTAGCCCGTCTTGCCGGACAGTCCTCTTCCTTTTTCCCAAGGTAAATCCTGAAGGTGTGTGTTTTCAACTTTTAAGCTAGGCTACCAGAGTGGCCCGGGGTCACTTGCCCGGCCAGGCCAAAAACAATAAAATATATATATATATATATATATATATACTTCGCTAGCTTCCTGCTACGGTTTTCTCCGGTCAGGTCGAGCGGCAGTGGTCGGGGCCGTCACTACGCGGCCATGCTGTGCCTCTAGTGCCAGCGGCGTGTCTGGAGTGTATTTTTT